GGCCCCTCCAGCTGACCAGGAGGTGACCGGGTCACTCTTTCCTTTGAGGGACGAGGGAGGGCAGCATGTGGAGCTTGCGCCCCCCCCACAAGGCAAACCTTGCCCCCCCCCGCTAAGCTCTCTCCCGCCCTGCCGCCACGATGCTCTGGGATGGAGTGGCCTCTGGGCGGGTGACCCCAAAGGAGGACTGAGGAGCTCCCGCAGCAAAAGACAGAAAGGGCCCAAGGTCTTTTGGGGGGGGGGAAGCATCTCTTTTCCCAGCAGATGGGTGCCGACGCTCCGACTGGAAGCCCCATTTGCAGTGGGCACTCTGCACATGCTCGCCTTCTCTACAAGCTTGTCTAGGACTCCAGATGGGCTTGTGAGCTTTCCCCAGTGTCTGCCTGCAGGCCCCAAAAGGGGTACCTCTTCCTCCGAATACAGTGCGCGCGCACGCGCGCATGCGAGCGTTCTCTACAAGCTTGTCTAGGACTCCAGATAGGCTTGTGAGCTTTCCTCTGAATACAGTGCACGCGCACGCATGCATGCGAGCACACACAGGATGTCTTTTGGGGGTCCGGGTAGCACTTCTCTAGGAATAAATTAAAATAAAGTGGAGCCCTTTGAGAAAGGATGTGGGGCCCACAGAGATGTCCTCGGGGGGGGGCTAAAAGGGCAAAGTGCCGCTCATAGGAGTCTTCATGGTGGGTGGACCGAGTGTCCTTCCCATCTCTCTCTCCCCTCTCGCACACACAGGTACACACCCACATCCCGCAGCCTTCATAGGTTTGGGGTGCTTTCGACGCGCAGAAGACACTCTGACCCATGCCTGCCATCCCATCATAGAAACTGTCAGTGGGAAGCAGTGCACAGAGGAACGTCACGGTTCAGCCCCCCCACCCCACCCCTCTGTCCCCATTCCTCAAATTGCCAAGGGAGCCCCCCCCCTTTCTAGCACCCTCCGCTTAGAGGACCAGCAAAGGCAGCGCTGTGTGTTTTGGGGACTTCAGCTCAGCAAGGGTGGGGAGAAGGCCTAGGTTCTCCCGCCCGACCGACCCCAGTGCTGTGCCTGGTGCGCCCCCCCCAATCCTGCTTGGGAGTCCCTGCAGGACTCATGCCCAAGAGGACCCTCTGGGGATCAGGACCCTCCCCTCCCTCCTCCTCCTCCTCATCATCATCATCATCATCCCACCGTGCCACCGCCGCAGGGTCCCTACCGTGCTCAGGGTGGGGCCGGCCCTCCACCGGGACGCTGACCGTTCTCCGCAGAAGCTTGGTCCGGCCGGGGTCCCGCTGGCGTTCGCGCAGGAGCAGGGGGTGAATCTTGGCCATGAGGAGAGAAGCGGGAGGGAGGGAGGGGTTAGGTGTCAGCGCTGAGGAAAGCCCCCACCCCTCCTCTATTCCCTCCTCCCGGGAAGAAACTCTGACACCCTATTTTCAGGAAGACCTCTGTGTGTGTGTGTGTGTGTAAGAGAGAGAGAGAGATTTCCACATGTCACAAATCAAAACAGTGAAAGCCCCTTTTCAAACCTTAGAAACACAGGTAGCCCTAGCTGGGGGGGGGCAGCTGGAACCATGGGGGCGAAGGCACAGTTTGCTTCCCCTACTGATCAAGGTTATGGGGTGGGTGGAAGGACTGGGGTCCAGTGATCCCAGTGGGTTGACCCTCGCACAAGGGTTTCTGTTTGGAGAAGGGAGGGGATTGTTCACCCTATTGCCATCAAGCCCATTCTGACTTAGGGGAGACTCTTTTTAGCATTTCCCAGGTAGAGAATATACTCAGAAGTGGTTCTCCCCTTCCCTTCCCCTGGGGGGGGGCGCTGGGGGACAGTGCCGCTGGCCCCCCAAGGCTACCCAGGCTGGTTCTTCTTTGCAGGAGACCCAGTGGGGGAATCGAACTTCCAACCTCAGGATCTGCAGCCAGAGACCTAAACCCTTAAGCCATCGAACCAGGTTCAAACAGGCTCGTGGGACAAAGGTTAACGTGCAGGACGCCAGGGGTGAGGCGGGCTTCCGGAGCGGAAGGCACATTTCCTGGGCTCCAAACATTTTCAGAATTCATCCCGAGAGTCTTTTCTCTCCCTATTCTATGCCTTCAGAAAAAGGCCTCCCAGTTTGTGGATGTCATCGCGGCTGAGTGGAGATTCAAACCCAGAACTTTTGGGTCACAGTCCATCACTGTCTCCACTATCCCACTCCGGCTTTCCCATGGATGGATTTTAAAAAAAAAAAAAAAAAAAAAAAAAAAAAAACAACGTGGTCTTCTCCTTCAGCCTCTGCTCAAACCGATTTCTCCTTATGGCATGGTCTCTGGCTCTCTCTAGTGGCCATTTCTGGTCCATGTACCCTGGGATAACATATATAAATAGGTATTTTTAGGAGGTTTTTTTATTTAATATTTCAACCAGCAGATAAGTGAATCGGCAAATACTGATCCCATGAATTGGAGGGGGGGGGTCCTCCTGTAATTTCAATAGTGCAATTATTGTATTTTTAAATGTTTTTAATGTTTCGATGCCGGTTGTTTTAATGTTGTAAGTTGCCTCGGCTCCTCCTGGAGTTATAAACAAAATATTTATTTTATTTATTTATTAGATTTGTTTTTATCCCGTCCTTCTAGACTATGTCTACTCAGGGCGGCTCATAATTTTCTCCATGACTCCAGAGTCCTGGAAGCCTTCGGCCCAGAGGTGAACTACTCATGAGGTGGAGGAAAACAGCGCTTTCAAAATATCTCAGCTTTTGACTGCTGGTGCCCAGATCAGGGCCGTATTCTTCCCCTTTCCCGTCAGACCTGCCCCCATGGCCTGACCCACATCCACGGTTACTGTTTTTCCAAGCTCTACACATCCTTGGGCATGGCTTTCTGCAAGCCCCCCTGGTCTCCTTCCAGATCTGTTCAGAAAGGCGCTCTCGAGGAAACCAGCTGCTGCCAGATGTGGGCTTCCCTCCTGTCTCCCTACCATTCTGTGTAATATATTTCCCATACAGCTCTTAACTGGTTAAAACCTTTGAATGGCACAGCTGGAAGGGACCCGAGGGATCATCTAGTCCATCCC